AAAAAAAAAAAAAAAAAAAAAGAAAAGGCAGGATTTTTCCTTATGAATTAATTAGTTAATGATCTCCTGGTATCTATGAAGACCCTAAACTTCACTGATTTACACTAGGAAGGATATTAATAATAGTGAAGTCACTGGGTCCAGTGTAATTAAGTTTTCCTCCCCAAACTATAGTTTGACCTCTATCTATTGTTGTCTTTCACCAGGGACACACTGGATATTTTACTGCATTTTCCGATTTATTTATTTGCTCTGTGTGTGTGTGTGTGTGTGTGTGTGTGTGTGTGTGTGTGTGTGTGACATGTAGAGGTCAGAAGACAATGGGCCCTTCTTTCACTCTGTGAGTTCTGGGGTTGACTCCAGTTGTCGGCCTTACCAGGCACCATTACCAGCCCAGCCATCCCGTCTTACAGGCCCTACACTGTGCATCTTAAAACAGTTTGTTGAAGTAGATCTGAAATTTTGACAGCCTTTTCCCATCCAACAGAAGTTGACTATTTCAGAACCCCCTACATAGACAGGGTTTCTCCGTGGTTTTGGAGCCTGTCCTGGAACTAGCTCTTGTAGACCAGGCTGGCCTTGAACTCCCAGAGATCCGCCTGCCTCTGCCTCCCAAGTGTTGGGATTGAAGGTGTGTGCCCCCATTGCCCAGCTAAATGTCTTTTATTTTTCTTTCTTTCTTCCTTTCTTTTTTTTATCTTTATTGATTTTTTTAAGGCAGGGTTTCCCTGTGCTGGGAGTAAAGTTGTGCACCACTACTGCCTGGCAAGACATGGTCTTTCATTGACCTGAAACTCCACCAATTCAGTCTAGCTGCCCAACAAGCCCCAGGGATCCAGCTGGCTCTTCTGCCCCACCTTGTTTTTTGAATCAGTGTCTTTCTTTGGCCTTGAGTTCACCAAGTAGATTAGGCTGGCTAGCCTGTGAACTCCAGGGTTCCATGTCTCTGTCTTCAGCACTGAAATTACAAACAAGTCCCAGCACACATGGCTTTCTAGAGATAGATCCTCCTGGTGCATGCTGAACACTTTACTGACCAGGCCTTCTCCCCAGCTCTTGAAATTCATTTTCTCATGGAAAGGGTGTTGAGACATAGTCTGTATAGTTCTGTGCCTAATTTTCGTAGGGATTCATGCTTCTGGAAATGTCTTAAAGGCCAGTGAGATGACTAAGCAGCTAAAGTTTGATATAAAACAGGCTGGTGGCAATCCTTTCAATCCCAATACTAAGATGGAGGCAGGAGAATCAAAGTCATTCTCAACTGCATATCAAGTTAGAGGCCAGCCTCAGCTGTATGAGATGGTATTTTAAAAAAAAGAAAAAAGAAAAAAAAACACAAAACTACCACCTTTGGGGTCAGAAAGCAGGATTTGGGGCCATGCATGGTGGTGAATGCCTTTAATTAATGTACTCAAGTCAGAGACCAG